TTGCAGAGTAAATTAAGCGTTTAAAAAAATATATTGCGCAAACTCAGTACAATTCGAAACGGTTTAGAACTTATAGAACTATTTATTTAGATCTCTGGTTGGAACAAGCGTAAGTATCTAGTACCTAGTGATTTTACAGAGTTTTGCAATGTTTAAAATAAGAACAAAAATTTTAATTTGTCAATTGTCAAGCACAGAATAACCTTTGAAATAGAATGCTTGATATTTTTTCAGAGTTTTTATGTGGCGTTATCGTTCGACCGAACCAAGAATTGGAAAGGACAATTTTGAAAAAAAATATTTTATTATGATTTATTAATATGTACTTATTAAAAATAAATGAAACACAAAATTATGTACTTAATCGATAAAATTGTGTATTTTCGGAAAAAGTTTATGTTAAAAATTATACCTATTAAGACAATGTGTTTACATTAAGAGCTGATTTACAGAAAGCGAATGACTTTCGGCTTATAAAGTGTAGCCTTTTGTGTAAATTTTATTCGGACTTAGTCTCATGATTGTTCGTTTCCAGAGGTTTCTCTAACATTTAACGCCTTTAAATTATATTCCTTTATTTATTTATTTATTATTATTTATTTTAAATTTATTGTTTGCTTACACTTGTCGACATAGGCCTTGACTTTACTTCTTTAGTTAGTTTAGTTTTGATAAACGTATTTATTTTTGTTTTGTTTTATTTACCAGCTTTTTAAAGTTTGATTGAGCCATAAACCTATTGTGCTTTATTTAAATCTTGTCTATGAGATTTTGAACTCCTCCTTATACGTTTTGCATAACAATAGCTTCGTAAACTTTAACGTATTTATTTGTAAAAGGAAAATACCAAGAAAAAAACTTTGAAGTAAAGCAGTACTTATTTAATTCTTTTTTTTTTCAAAGCTCGGCAGCTGTGCCAATGGATTAATTTTTTTGTTTATGAAAATAGAGTTTTTTAATGCCTTTGTATCATTTTTTTTTATAAATCTTATTATAATTTTCATTTGATATGCATTATATGAAAACGCGGATTAAAATACGAAGGAATAAATTATTAATCCGATCGCCAAGTACGTGCCTAAGCACAGTTATAAGTATTATTGTCTTTTAATTATTATCGATCTTTGATTTAGCGAGATTTAGTAAAACATCCCATACGTATCTGTTATTGTTATGTTTAAATGTTGTGATTTTTTTGAAATACATATTATGGTTTAGGATTTAGGAAACAACGTGTGTGGTAGTTGTGGAGAACTCTAGAATAATTTGTTCTGAAGGACGAATTGGAGAACTTCAGAAACAGCTTATTTGGCATATGTTTTAAGTATTTAATTCAAATAATTTTAATAAATTATTACTTACTTCATTTTTTGTTAATTTTGTCAGTGAAGAAATATTTGCATCGAACTTTTAATTTTCTCGTTTCTGCAAAAGATCGTAACATATGTACCATTGAGATCAAAAAGTCCTTCTATCAAAGCGTAGAAATTTAGATCATGTGTCTGTGGAAAATGAACTAAACTAAAAAAAGTATATTATAAATTAAAAATGTAACATGAAATCATGGTGTACGATTTGTATCATAACTTGAGTAATATCTCCGATAGGCTGGATTATAAAAAAACGCCTCAAGCAATAATTTTCTTCTTTGATCAAAGTTGAACAGATATTTGTTATTAGTCGTTTGTTGGTCTTAGAAAGCCTACTTTATTTAGTTTGATTTTCAAATTGTTTAGTTAGTGAGTTTGTGGAAAGACAATTTAATGAGGAAGCTAAAAATAATAAAATACACAGGATGTTTTATATAAAAAACTGAAATTAATATCACTTCCGGTGAAACAGGAAGCAGCATTGATTGAGCATCTATCTTAAACAATAGATTACAATAAACTGCAACTTTGTTCTAAGAAGTATTGTTATATCTTTAAAAATAATGGAGTTGTGGCTTGGAGCGTTTTTCATAATTCATCCTGCATAACAATATTTAACCTTTGTAACAAGAGACTAGAGTTTTAATTTTTAACTAGTTATTCAGTGTGTACTCGTATATGTATATTTCTTCAGCCATTATTCTATGTAATTCTAAAGTAATGAATAACCTTAAACGTACTGCCTGTATGTTTTCAAATGAGGACAATTTTGTAAAGAAATGATAAACTAAATTTGATTTTCTGAATTCCAGTTTTACTACTTTATAGTAATCCACTTTGCTTGGCCTTTACAAACGTAGGTATTGTTTATTAAAACGCGAAAGAAACAATGAAGCTGCTGTGTTTTCTTAAAAGAAATTACGAATACTTTGCATTGTAGTTTTGAATTAAAATATTTAAAAGATTTTATATAATCTAGATTCTATACAAAACGTATAAGAAATGCTCTTTGTGACAAACTCGACATGTCAATAACATAAAATAGCTTTTAAGTGGCGATATTCCGTATGCTTGGAGATAAATGTCTTAGCGAGTTTCCGCAAGTATGTGTCGATATTGATGATGAGAGGAAAAAAAATGTGGTGGTTCGTGTATGAACTTATCAAATATTCAACTGTCGTTTGCTCTTTTAGTATTCAGAAGCGTCTTGATGATATTTAGGTCACACTGTAGCAGAGAAATGTAAAAACCGGTTTCTTATGTACCCGCATAAGAGTTTTCAAGTTTCGTGCTTGAAAAATAGCGGAAATAGAGACGAATGAAAAGTTCTATCTAATTTTAACGTAGATGTAGATTATGAAAAAATGAAATTATTTTGACAACCGGTGCACGTTAAATTTTTAAGAGATCGATTGGTTCTTTATTGCCAATTGAACGCTTAAATTTTCTTGTTCGGTGACTCGAATCGATAGAAGTTTCTCTCGCAACGCAAAAGTGACATCGGTCTTTGAATAACTTTTTATCGTTTCAAAATAAATTGAGACAGTTATAAAGAACTTATTTAATTTTGGGGCAAAGTAGGAGTGATAAATGTTATTTTTTAAAGAATGATACAAAGTATATGATTATGGTAATTTTAAGTAATAATTGCTGTTTGTTTAATATGTTGTTGCAATTTGTTTTCATTGTTTACTATTGGAAAATGAAAATAAAAGATAACAACAAAAATGATTAATATCTTAATACGAAGAAAGATGTAGATTTGAGATGATGTTTAAATTAATGGTTTTATAAAATCTTTGATAATAGTATATTACGACTCAATTAGGAAATAAGGGCTTACATCGCTCATATGAATGATTGAGAGGCGCAGCCTCAGGGTTAGACAGAGCGCGAGAGAGTAATGAATTTCCACCGAGGTTTTTTTTTCATTCACAATCACATTTTGTTTAATTAACAAAATATTTGTTTTTCTGTCAATGTTGATTTGCGATGCAAACGAATTGCGTTTTATATTATTTGATGGGCTGGGAATTTAAGTAATCTTACATAAATTACTTACCAAGGGATGCAATGGCATATTTCCCGACCTGTCAATGGTTACGCATCGGTATATTGGTGTAGTGATTGTGTATTAAACTGTATTAAAATGAGTCAAACAAATAATAGTTGTTCTAAGGTGACAAATTTTAATGTGACATTGTGTATAATGTAGATAATGAAAGTTATTTTCTTAAGTCTAGTATGTTTTCTTTGCAATGTTGGAATGTGCATTTTAATAATTTATTGTAATATGATATCTGCATTCTATTGTAATAAAAGTAACCATTTTATTTAAGCATTTTTAGATAGTGTTTAAGTTCTTTGAAACTTTATTTTTAATTATTGAAAAATTCAAGTAATAATCGGAAGATCAATATAAAGCTCAGTGTTTATGACAGATTGATTCATGTTTTTCATTTGTTCTAACATTTTGACGTTTATTATGATACATTGTTACATTGCACCTTTATTCTTACCACACCTTTTCTAGAAAGCGATATGATTCTTCGAAGAGTTGGTTAATCTTTTTGACATACATTTTTGATAACTACATAAACATATAATTTGAGAATGGATTTTTTTTATTTATGGAACATGTAAATAACGCATAATAATAAAAAATGAAATTTACGCACAACGGAAGGTGATACGTCATTTTTATTGCTTGGTAATTGTTATTCAATTCAGACATATCCGTCCGCAATATAAACCTGTTATCTCTCAAATTAAAAAAAAAGTGTTTGACACATTTCGAAAATTTTATTTTTATTTTATTTTGATTTTAATGTGATTGATCTATTGACACATGTATCAGGGTACGTTAACATCCCTAATTACGAATTTGATAAGAAAAATTCTCCATCACGTACAGATTTTAAGTTACAGGAAAATAGTTTTCTCAGATTTTATCCTAAAAATTCTTTATTTCAATTAGAAATTAATTAAATAGACGACGAAAGAACTTAATTTATTCACTAAACAAGAACATTGTTGAAAGGTGTATAAGATTCTAACATAAATCTGTAGTAGATGAGTTTTTTGCAAAAGCTGACTTTTGTAGGGTGTTTGAACTTCCCTTATCAGGAACCAGCAGTAATCCCCCATCATAGCTGGATCGCATCTCCCTTGGTACCTCTTTTCCATCGTCAATATATACTGGTGGAACCTATCCCCTTGCTCGCACCCAAATTTGGGGGAAAAAAATTTAAATGAGAATGGAGAAAATGAATTTTAAGTGTTTCGTTTTTCGCCGATTTTGTCGAACATAATTACATATGATATCTTAAAATACCTAACTTTAAAATCTGACGTGCTATGGAATTTTCTTTATTATTTTTGAGTTTAGCACATGAATTGAACAAAAAATAACTGTTTTCTTCTCAGTCACAAAATGCTTGTTGGCTACTGTAATTTTTCCAACAGAAATAAATAGAGTCAAAGTGCAAAATTTAAACCCTCATAATTACGAAATTCTTATAGATCCAATTTTTGTAACATTTTTTTCTATGTTCCTAGCATCTTATCTTATTTGTCATTCGCTTCTTTATTGGGTCAAGTTTTCTTTTAATAACTACATTATTTTTTCAGCCCCCAAATTGGACGTGGACAATTTGGAAAACGGTTATCACGGCCTTGTCAAAGAGAACGAGACGTTGGTCGAAGTGACGCCGGCGATACGCGCCATCGGCGAACAAGTTTGCAGTTTTCGCATCGTAAACAAACACCATGGAGAGGCTCCTTTTGAGATTGTCTCGAAAGAAGACGGCTATGCCGAACTCAGGGCAAGGAGGGTGCTCAACTGCGAGAAAAGGAGGAACTACAAGTTCGACATAGCCGCCGTTGGCTGTAACGGCAAGCAGAGCGTCAGGTAAGAAAACTGAAACAAAGACAAGTATGGAAAAAAAAGGTTAATTGCGTAACTTGACTTGATGATGTATGAATGTAAGTCGGCCTTGGGGAAAAAAAATTAATTGGGATGTTACGTAAAGATGAAGGGTGGTTTCACACGTGCCGGGAAATGTGATCTGGATAATGTGAAAAGGTTTCAAATGATCTAATATTTAATTTTTTCAAATTCTATAATCAAATTGATCAAAAATATGAAGTTGTAGGAGTACGCAAGGTCTGTCAGAACTTGCACCCCAAAGAAAAATTTCAAGTAAGATAAGATACCAGCAACATAGTAATTGTACATTTGTAATATTGGTTGCCTATGCCTAGACTAACGGCTAATCGTAATAGTCATAGTTACATTGAAGTTGACCCGTTTTTTTTTTAGTACATATACATAGGGCTATGTTGTATACTAATAAAAAAATGTCTCTGTATATTTTCTAAAAGATTTTCTTGCATTTGTTAGCTTATCATATATCGTGGCGACTAAAAGAATACATTTATTCAGAGATATTTTTTCAGAAAACTTAATTATCTACAATTCTCTTTTTTATAAATCTTCGCAACGAGTTGTCTTTATATTTGCGAACACATGCAAAAGAAGTCAACGAGCTAATGCAGTATAATAAGACGTTAGCACTATTTAGAAGCTTTTTTTAGAAAAAAAAATGGTGTTTGCAGCAAATACAGTCTCAAATTAAATCGTTTAAAGTTTGTATTTATCGATCTCGAAAAATAGATTGGGATATTATCTATTAACTACTAGAAAATCTTGAAGAATTTGTAGTTTTTATATAACGAAGCCACACAACGTGGGGCTAAGATTCCAGTTGAATTTAATTTTTTTACAAAAAGAATTCAAAAAAGTTTTTTTTGATTTTCATTGTTGTGCCATCTCTCTTATTAATTGGCTTTTAATCTAGTTGTTGAAGTTAAATTAAAATCTTGCCGACTTTCTCACATCTGTTTTAAGTTTTTACCATTTATGAAACTTCTAAGTTTTGAGGTTGTGGTGTTAAACCACCATTCAAAGAAATTTATTCTTGGAGTTATGAAGTCATTATATGCTTGTAGATTTGTAAGTATATTTTTCAACGAGTATATGTATAGTGAATACTATTATTCACAAGGTGAAGTTGAACCTGAGTATGCGACTAGAATACTATGCTTTATCTACGACTAAACATTCTCGATTTTTGATATGGACAAAGTTGACGTTTTGGAAGTTGACGTTTTAATTAATAAAAATATCAAATTGCGTTCAGACAGTAAGCTATACAAGGAAGAGTCGTGGAACATGAATTTATATTTCTCGGAGTGTAATTTGAACTAAATTTTGTGTATGGATACGTCCATAATATGTAATATTATTTAACAGTCGCAACCAAATACATTTTTTTATATAGGCTGTCCCAACTAAAACTTGCACTCCCTAAAATCTCCGATTTCGTCCAAGTTTGGAAAAAATGGTGAAACAGAGGTCAATTTTAACTTAAAGGGGGACCAAATTTTATCAAAGTTTCAAAGTTATTTTTGCTTCCCTCCAACGCCCAGAGCCACTTCTTTAAAAAATTTAAACAGGGTGTGTCAGGACTCACACCCTAAAGAAAACATTTAAGTAAGATAAGGTACCAGGAATATGGACAAAAATGTTTAAAATACTTTATTTTTCAAAAAAAATTGACATTTATTTTTTGACATTTGACATTTTTTTATGTCTATTTAATGATGCTCATGATCTTGTGATGTTTTTTTAAATTATTTAGTAAAGGTACAAAAATTTTGAGCATAAAATCCATAAATAACATTAAAAACAGTTCCAATTTTGGATACAGCTTCCTTGTTTCCTCTGCTAATAGCAAAAAAACTTGGGAAATTATTTTTTCAACAGAAATAAATAGTCAAAGTGCAAAATTTAAACTCTCACAACTTACAGGGTGATTTACGAGGAATGAAGAGCCTGACCAAATTCTCGATGCAACCAACATTACATTTTCATAGGTCAGGTAGATTTGAATTTTTTTTAATAAATATGAAATATATAAATATAAATAAATAATATAATAGATAGCGAGCACACTTACAAGTTGTCAGTTTTTACATTAAAATAATGAAAAACAGAAGTAATTAAAATACCAACACAATAATGGGTATATTAAAATACGAATTACGGAAGGCACTCATTCGAGTTTCATCCAGTGGTACCCTTTGCTTTGATAACTAAACAAGAACCCAATTTTCTAAAAACTAACCTGATTGTGTCAGAAGATGCTTTTTCTTTCGGGATATCATTGGACATCACATAGGAAACAAGAGATGCATTTTTCAAACATTCTCCGTAAGCTAAAATCATGTCAGTTTTTTCATCATTGGAGTAAGTCCACATTTTGCTCAGTTTATAATAAATTTGTAACGTTTATCAAAAATGACAATGACGATGATTGATGATAATAATAGGCATCATGGATTCAATTTATAATTTTTTTAAAGTGTCCCAAAGCAACTTGCGAAAGTGTAATGATGGTTGCATCAAGAATTTGGTCAAGCTCATTATTCCTCGTGAATCACCCCGTATTTCAATTTTTTTGGTATTTTACCTTTTTTTTCTGGGGCGCGAGTTCTGGCGCATTCTGTAGCAAGAGAGGTTGAGTGACACATCATTTTGAAGTTGATTTCATTGTCTATGCAACCATGGTTTTTTCAGTTTTGAACGATTTTTTTTAGGTTACGGTGAGAGGAAACAAAAGTGGTTATGTAAAAACAATTCAAATTCCAGGAATATACCGCTCAAAATATCCTCATAATAATGTGTCACTCGACCCCTTTTACTATTAATTTTTTTTGTTAATATTGAGCTATTTCAGCATTTTTTTCAAACTAGGGCGCAATTTTTAGTTGTGACACACTGTATAAGAAAAAACCTAATATGTGAAAATTGTGAAAAACATTTCCTTGATTTATCTATGTTTCTTTAAGCGGCTTCTGATATTACAGAAATTGCATCTTGCACTGCATCTAAAAAAAGAGCAAAATTCTTGTTCTGCTTCGTTTAATAAAAGAGATGATATTGTTGATTTTAGTTTACTTTTTTTCAATTTAATAAAGTTTCATTTCTTGTTTATTATGTCTTCACATTTGCAAGAAAAGTTATCCAGTTCCAAAACAAGCAAAATATCAAATGTGGTTTTCCAACTTTCGGGTGATTTTTTTTCTTATTGGCACGTTAAAAGCGGTAAAGTTTTAACGAGCAACACCGGACGAAATTATTTCCAGAGAATCCCACTTAACGGTCATTAATTTCCGAAAATATCGATGTTATTCTGGTGTCGTATTTTCTTTCGTGTATAATAACGAGATGAGAAAGAACGACGTGTGGGCACCTTTAAGTGACTAATAACAGAAAATGCACCAACTCGTCCCAGTTTATCTTATTAATGTCAAGTTCTGTGCTGAAATTTGTCCAAACTATGAGTCAGTCGTGTTTTTAAATGTGTCGTCTACTTTATTTAAAAAAAGTAACGAGGTCAAGCAACTAGAAAATGGTACAACAGTAGCGTACATGAGAGGGTAGTTTAAAACGCGAAAAAATATGGAGATATAAGACCTGTCGGGGGGTTTTATGACCGTGTTGCGGGCTGTTCACTGTAAATTACAACCTTTGTTCTTAAGGGTGGGGTAACTTCAATTGAAGCAAAAGTATTTTTTTATTTGAAAAGTAAATGATTAGGACGTTTCGCAAGGGTTTGTTTATTTAGGCTGCGGTCTATTTTTGTTATATATTTATAAAATAAACGAAAAACAGGTGAATTATTTAAAATCTTTCAAAATATGTTTTCTTGTTTTAAATAAATTTTACTGACTAATCGTGAAACTACAAAGTTGAAAATTACGAAAGTTGGGAATTTACACAAAGTGAAATTAATCTTCTACATCTAGTTTGTACAAACAGTGTTTCTGATTGTTACCAAACTATAATTTTATTGCCTTTAAACAGCTTCTGAAGAAGAAGAGGAAGTTATACTTTGTTACAACATTCCACTTAAAAAAAGACTTCTTTTTTTAAAGTGCACAGACAACCCTTTTAAGGAGTCAATTTACATTAAAAGGAGTAGAGTTAGGGGTTAATTGTATAATAAAACGATATTTTTTCAAAGAAAATTTTATTTTTAATAAAATAATTCAAATCAAGTTAAAACTTTCTTACTGACTAATTTTGTACCATTATCATCACGATTTCCAATCATGAAGGAACAAAACTTGGAGATTTATTGAAACTGCATTTAATTTTCATTTGTTCCAGTTGTTGGAAAAGTTTAATTTGACAAGTTTGTACTCAGGATTTTATCTAATTTCATTTCACCTATAAAAGCGTTATTTTGTTAAGTCGATAACGTTGCAATTAAATTTTGTTCATTTTGTCACCACGTAAAGAAGTCAATTTGTAGCGAAAAGTTTAAAATTCCAAATGATGTTACTTAATTATAAGTTTTTTTTATTTGTGAAGTTTTCCATTATAATTTCCCGATGAAATGCAGTTCGGGGTAACTATCGACTTTTGAAAATAACCTCGTCATGGGGTCAATTCAGGTCAGATCTGCTGCAATAAGTATCAGGAGTATTGAAAGAAATCCAAGATTTTACTAGCATGAATATTATAAAAAATATGTATTTCCGTATTGTGTGATACCGAAAAAGCGACTTAAACAATTAATTATTTGTCAAAAGAAGTGTTTTTTTTTGTTAAAATTATTTTATAGATGCATTTCATTAAAACTTTAAAAATTTGTCAGATATCATGAATTGATAATGTTGACATTTAAAGATGTATTAACGTCAACTTATTTCCATTTTAATGAATTATTTGAAATGGGAGTACATCTTTATTATTACATTTAACAATAAATTAGTTCAATTTTTTTTATTTGGTTGAAAATTATCTAAATAATATTTATTTATTGTAAGAGTGTGTTAGAT